TTGATGTTTGTTCACGACAGATTCGAGGTTTTTGTTTTTATGCTCGCCAATTCTTTTTTTCAAAGTACGCTTTGATTCACCAATATATGTTGCAGGGCAACTATTACAATTAAATTTATAAACCATATTATTCCTATCCTACTTTTTCGTCATGTTCTTTCCAAATTTTATTACAGAGCTTAAGCTTTTTTCCACAATAGGAATAGAAAGTAAATTATATTTTTTTTAAATATTAGATAATTGATTATAAATATCATTAAAAGGAATAGTTGCCCTGCAACATATATTGGTAAATCAAAGCGTACTTTAAAAAAAGAATTAGCGAGCATGAAAAGAAAAACTTTGAATCTGTCGTGAACAAACATCAAACTAAATATAATCATTCTTTTAATTTTGACGATACAGAAATTTTAGATTATGAAACTTTCTAATAAAAAACGATTAATTTCCGAGATGATTTATAATAAATGCAATAATTTTACTATTAACAAGAAGGAAGATATACAGTTTCTTAGTAATTCCTATTTTCCTTTGCTTAAAAAATTGAAATAATGGTTATAATTCATAATATTTCGATTCCGGGTCATTGACCCCATCGCCTGTATATAAGGCAAAAATTGTCACCGGCTTAGTCAGTTTGACTAATCACTCATTTTAATATGTTTGTGATTTGTAAATTTAAATATTTTATTTTTTGTTCTATTGCGTTTATTTATGGTTTTTAATTTATTGACGTGATGTTTATTTTATTTACTTTAACTAGGTAAAAATTGTTTTTTTTATTGTTGTTTAAATTTAATTTTTTAAAAAATTGTGTTGTATTAATTTTTATAAAAAATTTGTTATTACAGTGACCTGATGATGGTTTTTTTCATGAGTGGAAAAATGCTTAAAACGTAGAAAATAAGAATGACAAAAAATTTTCGTATTTTTTTCCTGAAAGATAATGAAATTATGAAAAGACTGACACCTTATCGAAGACTTTTCGTTAAATATTCTGTCAGACCCAGAAAAAATATTGGATTTTGCATGCTTTTCGTAATTCGTTAATTTCTCGAAAACTAATTACCTTTTTTTAGCGTTCTTGGTCTTGTTTTAATCTCTATTCAATGTAGAATCTAAATTAATTAATGGTATTGTGATATAAATTATTAAAAAAAATTTGAAACTGTGAAAGTCGGATAAAAAAATTTTAAAAAACAGATTGACACTTTTTCAAAAAAAATTTTTTTTTTAAATTAAATATTTAAATAATGAAAAAGCTTTTTTGAATTTTAGTATATCTATTAAATAAACATATTTTACATTGACGTTTTTGACACTTTAATATTCATGATAATTTTTTAAATTTTTTTAATCCTACTTTTACGGTTTCAAATTTTTTTGGAAAAATTTATATCATAATACCATTAATTAATTTAGATTTAGTTTTCGAGAAATTAAAAAATTACGAAAAGCATGCAAAATCCAATATTTTTTCTGTATCTGACAGAATAGTCAACAAAAATTCTTCGATTAGGTGTCAGTCTTTTCATAATTTTATTAGCTTTCTGGAAAAAAATACGAAAAATTTTTGTCATTCTTATTTCCTACGTTTTAAGCATTTTTTTACTCATGAAAAAGGGGCGTCCTGATACTCACGGACGGTAATGTACAGTCAGGTCTCGCTAAGTGTCGTCACTGGGAATCTTTTGGGACCGTCTGTCTCAGTAAGTGTCAGTGGCCTAAGCCACGCCCCTTTAATAAAAGTGGTCATTTCATTGGTTTATGTTGCAAACCGGTTTTGGGTAGTCCATTTTTAGCATTGGAGAGGGTAAAAAAAAGTGGGGAAAGTGACACTTGTCGGGTCTTGAACGATGACACTTTGTGAGTCATGACACTTACTGAAAACGACACTTGGCGAGACCTGACTGTATATATACACTGGAATCTGGATCGGTGAGACTAATCGGGGATGGCTTCTCACCGATCTAGCGGATTAGTTGAGACTGAGAAGCAACAGAAACAGGGCCGTACGAAGTATTTTTTGTTTGCACCATTCTTTTAAAAAATAATTCATGTTAGAAAATTAATATAAATAACAAAATATTATAAAACATTATACAAAAATAAAATGTATTTATATTAAAAAGAAAAAAAAAAAATAATGATGAAGTTATCAAATGAAATAAATAGCATCGGGCACTAAGAACCTTTTTCTTCTACAATTAGGCACGGCATTGATCGACATTTGAAAGTCCCCGCTAGCCCTCCACTTTTCCTCGCCTACAAACTATGTAAACAGAGTCTTAACGATCCCGAGCTCACCGATCTAGATTCCAGGGTATATATAATTTGAGTAAGCAGAAGAAAACAGTTTAATATTACTTTTTTTGGTTAGAAACCCCAACTTATTTATTTAGGTTAGAAAAATCACTTAATGAAATGTTTTCTTTAGTTATTGTTACATCCCGAGATATAAATTTTTTTAATTTTTATTAAATTCAAGGCTTATAGTAAAAAATATACAAAAAAATTTTAACTAGGCATTAGATGTTGTTAAGTTTATTAATTCATTACAATTCATAGTAAATAATGCTTAAAAATATAAAAAGCATATATTTATATATATGCTATATATATATATATATATATATATATATATATATATATATGTCGTAGGCAAATAGAAGAATCCGTCATTTAGCTAAATGCCTAGGCGTTTAGCCTAGCGGCGCCGAATAGACGAATGGACTTGAGAAATGATTAAATTCGTCTATTTGCCTAAAAAGCTTAGGCGTTTAGCGAAATGACTAGGCAATTGTCTATTTGCCTAAAACTGTTCAGGCAATTAGAAGAAAATATCTATTACCAACAAATCGTAATGAAGAAAATGGAAAAATAAATTGAATACTTGAAAAAATAAAAATAAAAAATATTTTATAAATATAAAAGTTAAAAGTGTAAATAAATTTCGTCATAATCCATAAACAAAAGATCAAAACAAAATTACTTTAGTAACTTGAATATTCGTTAGAAAACATAATTTAATTTAGTATCTTCATACTGCTCGTACACTCGAAATATAAATTAAAATTAACGTGCAAACGCGAAATTTAATTGAAATCTAGATTTTTTTCTTATATAAAATGAGTGTAAATCGAAGTGATTTTGAAGAAAAATTAAAAATATTGTACTCCGAGCAAAAATGTAACAGAACAATATGGAATAAAAAACAGCTACTCGAAGTTATTCAAGTATTGTCAGAATTCGAAGGAGTGAAATCGACGAAAAGTGGTGCATATTATCATTGTTTTAAATTATATGAACTCGTAAGACTTGGTGGTGAGAACCATGTAATTTTAAAAAGAAAAAACGAAAACGATCCGTTAATTTATGTTTTGTCAATTGAGGATTATTTTGAAAAATTAGAGGAGGCTCACACTCAAACTGGACACGGTGGAAGGGACAGGATGATTTATTACATAAAAAATAAATGGAGAATTTCGCTAGCTACGATTTGTTGGTAATAGATATTTTCTTCTAATTGCCTGAACAGTTTTAGGCAAATAGACAATTGCCTAGTCATTTCGCTAAACGCCTAAGCTTTTTAGGCAAATAGACGAATTTAATCATTTCTCAAGTCCATTCGTCTATTCGGCGCCGCTAGGCTAAACGCCTAGGCATTTAGCTAAATGACGGATTCTTCTATTTGCCTACGACATATATATATATATATATATATATATATATAGTACGAATGTAAAGGCAGGTATGATAAAATAATAAGTTGTGAGTTACCATTTAAGATAATTGATTTATGAATTGACTGTGATTTATGGTGACGACTTATGATGGGTGAGTAGCGGTCGGTTAATTATCTACACTCATGGTAATTAATCTTCCGTCGTTCGCTTATCATGGGTCGCGACAAGTGATGTGACTATATGAAGGTTCTAAAATCAAACACTAGACTCGAGATTCAAATATTATTCTTAGCTAATGTGAAACATAAATAATAAATATAAAATGCATGACTAATTAATTAATAAGGCGAGTGTCATATTACTTGTCTGCGACAAAGTTAACAAAGCATATTATTAAATAATACCTATAATTACAATTAACGAAAAATGATATAGAATACGTGACTATTCGAAATCGCCTAGAATGCGAAAAGCAAATAGTCATAATATAAAAATAAATAATTAGTTGTAAAAACGAGTATAATATTGCTCGTCTATAATAAATTAGCGAAATGCATGAAAGTAAACGCGAATACTTGCAATTAGCGAAAAACGATATGAAATGCTTACTTTCTAGGAATCGGTAAGACTATGTGACTTTTTCATGTCTTATCCCTAATCAAGTAAGCAATTTTTGCACTATATAAACCCCGATCTAATTGTTAACATCGTCAAATACTCCGGTGAGTTTCTGCCCGAACAGTGTTGTGAGTCGGCCCTTCGATCGTTTAATCGAGTCGCTATTTAAGTGTTTTTAAAGAAAGAAGATTTGTTTACTTCATTCAAGAAGTAATTAGCACTAATAATTAGCAATACTAATTAATACAATCGTCGTATCTTTACAATAGTCTTTTTCATTATTTTCTTTCGAATTCTACCAAATTAGTGCAAGTTACTTCGAGACACTAAGCGAAGTATAACTGGTTGCAGCTCATTACTGTATCATTCTTCTTCGTACGCAATAAACTGTAAGTAAGAATCATCTTGCTAATTACACCATTGTTTAATGAATAAACGTTATAAATAAGGAATATGCATATGTTTAATTACCGGACACCCTTAGTTTCCTCAAAGTCAAACAAATCCACACTAAAAATAAATGTCAAGTCTTACCAACTTGACTAATCAGCAACTTGTCTCCATATTTACTAATTATTTAGTAAAATAACCTAAGCCTTAGCTCGGGTCGTAACAGTTTTATCATTTCATTTGTAAGATTAAATTAATTTCATAATTTTTATTTTAAATTTTAACTTTTAATTTAAGTAAAAATACCTTTTTAGGATGACGTCTAATGGTTTTTTCACATATCTCACATCCGGATTGTTATTGCCATTGACTTACTATATAAACAAGAAATATTGTTTAAGTTTCTTGTAATATTAAAATATAATATTATTATAATAAATCACCGAGTATTTCCTAAAATCTGACAGGTTAAGAATATTAAGCGGTGAATCTCATTACTTTCTTGGTTAGAAAACCCAACTTATTTTTTAGGTTAGAAAAACCACCCAATGAAATGTTTTCTTTAGTTATATTATTTCATTTGTAAGATTACAATAATTTAATAATTTTTTATTTGAAGTTTCAACTTTTAATTTAAGTAAAAATTAATAATATACGTACCAGTAAACTATCATCCTTCATTGGTCTCCCGGCTTCGCTTAAAATATGTATCTGAATTTTGTTCAGTTTTGTTGGCTTCCTAAATATATTAATTATTTGTAGTATAAAAGTTCAGATTTATGTATATAAATAAGAGATGATAACATATTATTATATATATAATAATAATTTGTAAAAAAAATTAATACTCACCATGTTGACTACACTTCTCTATAACAATATGTAAAATTGTCTGCTATCGTTGTCTGCTAACATGGTAGCCTGGACATTTTTGTAACATTATTTAATATCAATGAGTGCCGGGCTGAAAAAGTTTCCTTTTCATCTAAAGAAACAAATACAAAAATAATAAAGTGAATCTGTGAATAATAAATGGACCCAAAAACTGATTTAATGTGAAAAAAGATATATAAAAGACTTCTTTCCCTAAAATTAAAAAAAAAAAATTCAAAAATTGTTGAAGATACGCCATTTTTATTTTTAATATTAATTTTATAAAATTTTGAATATCTCGGAATATTATAAAATGTACACATTTTTCAGGTAAAAATTTGTAATTTAAAATAAAAATTAATTTTTAAATAAAAATTTTAGGTATATCTGCGGCTGCTACTCTTGAAAAAATTGATTTTCAAAAGATTTTCTTCAAATTTTAAGAAAATGTTTCTTTGTAAATATTTAAATGTGGTAAATATTTTAACTCTTTGCCATGTCAAAAAAAGATATATTGTGGTTGACATTTTTTATTTTTAACATAATCGGATGTAAAAGTTAAAGTTTGAACTTGAATAAGTTATTGAATAGGATTCGAATTTTTTTTAGCATCGGCAAAGATTTTCTATGGTAAAAAGCACAGAAAATTACTGTCGTTTATCATCAATTTTTTAAAAATTTAGGTATCGTTTGTACCACAGGCCGACAGTTTTTACTAAACAAGAATCAAACAATACTTTTCCGAAGGTTTTCAACGTGATAATTCCGAACCCAGCGTCATAATAGACCCTGCACGTCAGGTATCCGAGGTATTTTAATTTAAAAGTGCACAAGACTAGTTTTTATAATTTAAAAGATAATTGTTTTGCCAAAAGTTCAATATTGCATCTAAAGTCGCTACTTTTTAGGGTTAAGTCTTATAGCAAAACTTTGTTATAAGAAGGACTTAAGTCCTTAGACTTAAGACAATCCATGTTGTTTGTTGACAACCGTTGCTTTGTTAATGGTTGCAATAACAACCGTTGCTATGTTAATGGTTGACATAACAACCGTTGCCGTTGCAACCGTTGATATAGTAATGGTTGCCATTACAACCGTTGCCATGGCAACCGTTACTATGATAATAAAAAAATTTTCAATCTTATGTACAAAAAAATTTCTAAATAAATTATTATTCATTTATTTTTTTGTCATTTTAGGCCACGAAACCTTATGATGTAGGCGCATTGCGCCTGCTTCTCTGACTGATTTTTTTCTTTAAAATACATTTTGAAAATTTAAAATATTTTCTTTTTCCTCTGATTAATCATTCATTCTGTGTACTGAGTTTGTCAAACTTTTTGAAAACTGAGTAACAACAGACAATACTTTGATAATGAAGAAGAATATTACTACAAACCAGGATATAAATTTCAAATACTTCTGCATATTTTCGGTACAACTGAATGGGAATACGATGTCAGATTTACCAAATCGTCTGCTATATACGATCCGCTATTTTGAATTTTGGAAAGCTGACATAGAATTCGTATCCAGTTATACCGAAAATCTGCAGAACCATTCAAAATTTAGAGGTTTGTAGTTAAATGCTTTTATATTATGGAGCATAAAAAGAAAAACCTCGAATCTGTCGTGAACAAACATCAAACTGAATATAATCATTCTTTTAATTTTGACGATACAGAAATTTTAGATTATGAAACTTTCTGATAAAAAACGATTAATTTCTGAGATTATTTATAATAAATGCAATAATTTTACTATTGACAAGAAGGAAGATATACAGTTTCTTAGTAATTCCTATTTTCTTTTGCTTAAAAAATTGAAATAATGGTTATAATTTATAATATTTCGATTGCGGGTCATTGGCCCCATCGCCTGTATATAAGGCGAAAATTGTCACCGGCTCAGTCAGTTTGACTAATCACTCGTTTTAATATGTTTGCGATTTGTAAATTTAAATATTTTATTTTTTGTTCTATTGCGTTTATATTTAATTTTTTTAAAAATTGTGTTGTATTAATTTTTATAAAAAAATTTTTATTACAGTGACCTGATGATGGTTTTTTTATGAGTGGAAAAATGCTTAAATCGTAGAAAATAAGAATGACAAAAAATTTTCGTATTTTTTTCCTGAAAGCTAATGAAATTATGAAAAGACTGACACCTGATCGAAGAATTTTCGTTGAATATTCTGTCAGATACAGAAAAAATATTGGATTTTGCATGCTTTTCGTAATTCTTTAATTTCTCGAAAACTAATTACCTTTTTTTAGCGTTCTTGGTCTTGTTTCAATCTCTATTCAATGTAGAATCTAAATTAATAAATGGTATTGTGATATAAATTATTCAAAAAAATTTGAAACTGTGAAAGTTGGATAAAAAAATTTTAAAAAACAGATTGACACTTTTTCAAAAAAAAATTTTTTTTAAATTAAATATTTAAGTAATGAAAAACCTTTTTTGAATTTTAGTATATGGATGAATCTCTCAAAAAGTACAAATGACACTTTCAAGACATTTTTCTAAAAAATATTTAAAATTAATAAAAATAATGGCCGCCATATGATAGTATTTAACACGATTGAATCAGGTCATATAAGAAAAAAAATAAAAATTTTGTATTATCTAAAATATCCATATTCATATGGTGCAAAAACTCCATTCCGTTACCGTGCATGAAGCTAATTTTGCTCAAAGAATGAATATGACTTCCCATTTAAAATCTAATTTCATCTCTTGTTTAGTAATATTTATTAATTATTCTTTATTTTACTTAAATCCGGAAAACGTAAGGCAAAATATTTCAAATTCTATTTTCTAGAATTAGATTAGTTTTGTGCGCCATTGAAAACTCCATTCCGTTACCGGTCACAAATATAAAAATTAAAGATAAACAAACATGTTAGGGGAGCAATACAGAGGTAAATAGTATTTAGAATACTAGTGTGATTGAAGATCAGTGCGAATTAGGATGAAAGAAAATAAAATATTCCGTATAAATGAGATTTTCAGTTGAGTAGTCGGCATCGACAGAAAGAAAACTCCATTCCGTTACCGCAGTAAATTCTAAATTTTTATAAGTAAATGATAAAATATTATTATAAATTTATAAAATATTCCTTTATTTAAATAAAATATAGCAAATACTATTGATTGTTTGTTAATAAAATTTTATTTTTTTACATTACAATCAATATATTTCGGTGCTATCGAAATTAACTAAACTCCATTCCGTTACCGCTAGTGGCTTTTCTTTTTTTTGATAAGTAAATGAAAATTTTTATTAATAATTCTTTGAATAATTTTTTATTTTTATAAAACTTAACGACATTTAACGTTTTAATTCAAAGTTTAGAAAATTTTTTAATATATAAGTAATCAATTTAAGCGTCGTCCAAGAGAGCAAAAACTCCATTCCGTAACCGACAGTACTTTTTTCGTTTTTTGCTAAATAAATGATAAATAAATTTAAAACTCATTTCTCGGGGGTTTTTGGGGTCGCTGATTACGAAGTTAATGTTATTTTTTTTAAATTCAAAATGGCGGATCCAAAATGGCGGACGAAATATTTTAGAATTTAGTGAAATAGCTTAAATTTCGTTACTCGGGGGTTTTTGGGGTCGCTGATTACGAATTTAATGTTACTTTTTTAAAATTCAAAGTGTCGGACGAAATATTGAAAAATTAATTGGATTAGCTTCAAAATAAATTCTAAATAAAATTCGTTATCTTCACCCTCGAAAACCTCCAAGTATCAAATTTCAAGCTAATCCATTTAATTTTTAAACATTTTATCTGCCATATTGGATCTGCCATTCTGAATTTAAAACTAAAATAACATTAGATTTGTAATCAGCGACCCCAAAAACCCCTAATCAACAAATTTCAAAGAAATAAAATTTATTTTTTAAAATTTGACCGCCATATAGGATCCGCCATTTATAATTTTTGAATTATGACCGCAAATTCGTAATCAGCGACCCCAAAAACCCCCAAGTAACATGTTTTAAGAGAATCCAATTAATTGTCAAATATGTATTACAAACCGGAAATAAAATATTTATTTTGGGCTTTTGAGATGGCCCTTTTATTTCAAATTTGGGGAGGCACCAAGCTGCCAAATTCCATTGGGAATTTGTTTGAATTGTAGGTCCGTTTTTCCACTTTTAAAAGGTACGCACTGCTTCTTTAGAATGTTTGTGTGAGGAATAAAGGTAAGTAAAAGAGAGAAAATTAGCTTGAGAAAATAAAGAGGTTTATTCTTTTGTGGTGTAAAATTAAGAACGATACATTACTTACTTTACCGTCGACAGTGGTGTCACAATCAGCTGCCGTCGGGCGAAACAAACTTCCGTTGTTGTTGGCACACAACGTGATTTTAATCTTTTATCTCAAGTAAAATAAATTTGAACTTTAATGTTTTCTTTTATATTTAAGAAAACTAAAAAAATTTATTTTAAAACAAATTTTTTTTTATATATCGAGGCCGTTGTATCGGAACGGCGCAGGCGCTACACGCACGGACTGGCCGGTTTCACTCAAACAAAATCTGCTATAATTAATCAATTAATTATAACCGATTTTCTTCCGACACAATTCTCGAAGGACTCCGTCGGTTAGAAGAATTTAATTCAAATTTTCGTCCGCCTTTCGCGTTATACTTAGTAAGTTCTACGCGGGGGTCCGACTCGCAGACGGGCTAAGTCGCGGCGTTCTTATTTCTCACAACACTTGCCAAGCTAGAGCCAGGAGAGATGTTGCTCGAGAGAAACGAGAAGTTGTACTGCATCGATTAAAAGATTTTGACTAGCCTCTAGTCCTTGCTTTACCTCCAGAGCGGGACAATTTTGCAAACGAGGAAATTTTAATTTTCAGGAGTAGGAAAGAATTCGCGGCCCATTGGACGTTGCAATTTTCGCTGATTCTAAAATGCATAGACAGTTTCGTGTGAACGGAAACGACCGTCATTTGATATTTTTCTGAAAGTACCCTCCTTATAATTAATGAAAAATAATTTCATCGTTTTATTAAATACAACAATTTTCCAATTATGATGGTTGTTTGAATTAATTAACAACCATACAATTGTGTGAATTGCCAATTAAATTGGTGGAGTTGCTCAGCTGTATATAATTTCCGATTACAAGTTGATCGATT